TTGAGTATTTCAAATACATGGTTACTTAATAATTGAACAAAATTAGTAACTTTTTTAACCCATACTAATCATTTCATAAGGGGCAAATGTGCAATTTTAAAGGCATCCCTGGGTAGCACAACAGTTAAGCATTTGACTACTAGTCAGAAGGTTGGACATTTGAACCCACCCAGAGGCATCTCAGAAGACAGATCTGGCAATCTGTTTCTCAAGGGTCATAGCCTTGAAAACGCTAAGGAGCAGGTCTATTCTTCACTATGGGGTCACCATGAGTTGCTCCACACGAACTAACAGCAATGCAGCTTTAACCCAGGTGATATATAAATGGCACAAAATAAAGTTAAACTTTCATTAGTAAGTTGACAATAAAATACACTTATTAAAAAAACAAACAGGTATTAGGATTGTTAAGGGAAGTTGATAAAAGATAAAGTACAAAAATATTGCAGAGTACATTCATAAAATATTACAACTTAAGTATATATTATTTTCATTGGACCACAAACAATAAAAACTTTTCAATCTACATAATCTATAGAAAAGACTTTTAAGTGCTTTTAGAAATTTGCATGCTTTGGTTATTGTTGTTCAGTGCTACCAAGTCGGTTCCGACTCACAACAGCCTACGTAAAACAGAACAAACACTCCTTAGTCCTGGATCATCCTCACAATCATTGCAATATTTGAGCCCACTGCTACAGCCACTAAGTCAATCTCTCCCATTGAAGATCTTCTTTTTCATTGGTCCTCTGCTTTCCAAGCATGATGTCCTTCTCCAGGGGCTGGTTCCTCCTGATAACATGCCCAAAGTACGTGAGATGAAATGTCACCATTTTCCCTTTTAAACAGTATACTGTCTGTACTTCTTCCAAGACAGATTTGTTCATTCTTCTGGCAATTCATATTCAATATTCTTTGCCCACACCGTAATTCAAAGACAACAATTCTTTGGTCTTCCTTATTCACTGTGTTGGCTGGGTTGTCTATAGAAAGCAAAACCAGTAAAGCTTATATATACATATAGAGAAAAAGAAATTTATCTTAGGAAAACAGCTCACACATGTACAGAAATTGGCAAGTCCCAAGTTCTTGGATCAAACGTCAATCTGGAGGCTTTTCCCAACTCACACAGCTACAGGGGCTGACAAGCTCAAGGTTGGCAGGCAGTATACCGGCTGTTGACTCCAACGAATGACGAATCCAAGATCCAGACTGAAGAGTGGATTGTTCACTCACAGACAGTTGTAGGCAGCACAATAGGATCCCAATCCACAGAAGAGTGTCTCTTTTCCCAGATGTCCATAAATATATTAGAAGCAGGCCACACCCCTAGGGAAACTCCCTTGCAATGGATTGGCTACTCAAAACATATACATCTGATCCCATCATGGGAATAACCCACATCACAATTGCTTAAACCACACAGAATTGTGGTCCAGCCAAGTTGACACACAGCTCCAACTATCACATTACATTCACTGTTCAGTTTTCACATGCATATGAGGCAACTGGAAACATCATAGCTTATGTCAGGCACACCTTAGTCCTCAAAGTGATATGTTTGGTTTTTTTTTTTTTTTTAACATTTTAAAGAGGTCTTTTGCAACACATTTGCCCAAAGAAATATGTCATTTGATTTCCTTCCTACTGCTTCCATAGGCATTGACTATGGATCCAAGTAAAATGAAATTCTTGACAACTTCCATCTTATCTCCATTTATCATGATGTTGCTTATTTGTCCTGTTGTGAGAATTTTTGTTTTCTCTACATTGAGGTGTAATCCATACTAAAGGCTGTAGTATGATCTTCATCAGTAAATGCTTCAAGTCCTCTTTGCTTTCAGCAGGCAATGTTGTGTCATCTGCCTATTACAGGTTTTTAGTAAGTCTTCCTCCAATCCTGATGCAACATTCTTCTTCATATAGTCCAGCTTCTCAGGTTATTTACTCAGCATCCAGATTAAGTAAGGTGAAAGGATACAACATTGATAGACACCTTTCCTGATGCCTCTTGGTATATGTACAGGATGCTCATGAGCACAATTAAGTATTCTAGAATTCCCATTCTTTGCTATGTTATCCATCATTTGTTATGATCCACACAGTCAAATGCCTTTGCATAGTCAATGAAACATAGGCAAACATTTTTCTGGTAATTTATATTGATTTATGTAACATAGACCACCTACACTATGATTGTGACTAGAAAACTAGCAAAGGGAATATAAGCACTGAAGATGATAGAAAGGACATCACCCTTGACCAACTTGCTATACAGAATTAAACACTGGTCTGCTTACATTTTAAAATTAAATTTCAGCATATTAAAATGATACTTTATTAAGGAAATTATCATAGAAAAAGTAAATGTTAGGACAAGTCTGGAAACAAGTCTCTAGTTCCTAACATCTCTTTTTTTCCTGCTTTTAGATGAAACTCTTCAGCTATCAAAAAGCATGTAACTTGGCATTGAATGTAAGATACTTTACTTGACAGTAAAGACTCATATAGACATAGACTTTACACCAGTTTCATTTTATAATTTATGTTTGCTACTTCACAGAAAATTCTATGATTTAGGCTAAACATAAATTCTTAGAAGAATACCCAAAAAATACAAATCACTGCATAGTTCTCATAAAGCCTCTCTCCATCACTCAAAAAAATTCACTGCTATAGAGTCGATTTGACTCATAGTGACTCTCCTTGGGATTCTGAGCCAGTATCTCTACGAAGTAGATTTCCCAGTGCTTCCTCCATCACTAATACCCGGTAATTAAATAATTCCTTTTATATTTATTTTAAGATGGGAAATCAGAAATATACCAACTGCAAAGCAAGAACAAACACTCTCAGGAATTTTGGATCTAAATATATTTTTTAATTAATGAAAGGTAATATATTCAAAATAGGTGGCATTCTACAAATGAAATCAATACACTTCTCTATCTCTGTTTTCCTAGATTATCTACACACAGAGCTGCTTTTCTTTCTTTCTTTCTTTCTTTTTTTTTTAGTGCCATCTGCTTCTTCCAAGCCTCCCTTTCCCTGAGCTCCTTTGCTGTCTTTATTCACAAGGGCAGTGAAAGTTGCTTCCATGACATCAATCCATTGGAAACATAGATGGCATCAAAAATATTACCTGAGAAGTAGACAAATAGACAAAACATTGTCCACAGAAAGAGGACAACGGTAGAGAGAGTTGAAAGAAGGAAGGCATATATAAGGCTGACATAATTTTTTTCATTGCATTTTGAAATAAAATTCACCCTAATGTATATGGTTTATAGAGTTATATTCACATATTTATTATTAGTAGCTGTATCAGGAGCTCTGGTAACATAGTGCCTAAGGCACTTGACTGCTAACCATAATGCTTGTGGTTCAAACCCACCAGCCACTCCTTAGAAGGAAGACTGGGCAATCTACTTCCATAGTGCTACTACCTCAGAAACCCAAGGAGGGGTCGCTATGAGTCGGGTGTGACTCGATGGCATATAAAAGTTACAATAACAACATAAAAGGTCTAACTATACAGTGATGAGGCATTGGTCTCTTTATTTTACGCATCATATGGAATAACTAGATGCCCTGGTGGAGCAATGGTTAAGTGCTGGGCTGCTAACTGAAAGGGGGGTGGTTTTAATTCACCCAGTGGCTCCACAGAAGACCTGGCAATCTGCTTTCGTGAAGGATAGACCCTAAGAAAATCCTAGGGGGCAGTTCTACTCTGCACATGGGATTCCTATGAGTTGAAAACTCACTTGATATCACCCAAAAATATTGAAGAACTGCCCTGAAATTGTCAGTAGCCAGTTGTCTTGCAATTTCATGAAACTGGTTACAAAAGAAATTAGATGAACTGGCCCAAATCTCTCCAATTACCAGAAACTGTACATGCACACACACAACAGTTCTCACTGTTTTCTCATCTTGTAATGAGGACAGCCCACCCTCCCCAAACACACATGATATACAAATTCAAGTTATATGTGAAATATAGGTGAATATCCAGACAATTAAGAAATTCTGAAAAATCAAAGAAAGGATCCCATTTTGTGGTAAAACTTAACATATGTATGCTTATGCACAGGAAAAGAGAGAAGGATACATACCTACTGTTAACAATGGTTATCTGTGGGTGTTAGGAATATGGGTGATTTATACTTTTCCCTTTGTGCTTCTCTGTATTTTCTAGCGTTCCTAGAAATATGTAACCTTTTTTTCTTTCTGATTGCAAAAGTTACATGCTTTCCTGAGCATGTAACTTTAGCAATCAGAAAGAAAAAAAGGTTACATAGATGCAGAGCTTCTAATCTTAAAGCAACAGTTAATGTGGATCAAAGACACAGAGTAACCTATCTTTAAGCCTCATCAGAGTCACTGAGGAACAAATCCTCCACTACTTGGCATGGCTCCCCAAAGTCCAGCGAGCTCTCTATACTCCGGGGCTTCAGCAAACTGAGCAGAGAGAGTTGCTCCATACAAACTTGATCCTGTACTTCTGCAAGAGCAAAACTCACTTCTGACTCTCCAGTGACCCTGCCTCCCCATGGCATACTCAAGTTCCGAGGACCCCACGGGGGACCTTGGTCCTTCTCAAGGTGTTATCGAATACTCAGCGCCCCAAATCTGTGCTCCACAGCTCACTACCACTTTCCTTCAGTTACTACCCCATCCCTTCCTTCCATACACACCCAAGAGCAGTAAGGGTAGGAAAGAGCGTCCCTGACGCCCATGACTATGGAAGAGCTGTTTCTCCTCGCCTTGCCTCGCCTCAGTTTCCTTATCTGTCACCCTCCTTCGTAGGGTGGCTTCATGTTCAGAAACCAGGAGGTTCTGCAAAAACCAGGGGCCGTTCTCATCAATGCAACAACTCCTGTTCCCTCGACCGCTCTAAGGCATCCAGCCCCAGCCTGGACATCTCGGGCACAACTTCTCCTCCCAAGCCCTGCCCCGTCGCTCCCCAGGATTCGTCGCCCCAACGCCGGTTCCCGTACCTGGCAGTTGCTGTCCTGGGGCAGGTTTTTCACCAGGATTTTCCTGCGGTTGCTCAGCTCCCGCCGCATCCGCTGCAGCCGCACAGCTACCTCCTCCGGATCCAGCGCGGCGGACGCGGGGCCCCGGGCGCCCTCGCGCGCCTCGGCGGTGCAGCCCGGCCAGCGCAGCCCGGTTTC